GTTCTAGCTATTGAACAGATTAGAGAGTGGACATCCTTGTCTTGTGTCTGAGTTTTAGTGGCAATGCGTTATTAATGTTGGCAGTGGCGTTGCTGTAAATTACCTGTATTATATTATGTTGAGGCATGTCCCTTTTATCTCTAGTTTCTCCAAGACTTTTAAAATGAAAGGATGTTGGATTTTGTCAAAAGCATTTTCTCACTTAAGATCACCAGGTGTTTAGCCAAAATACCCAATAAAGGGAGATAGAACCTGTAGAGATCATATCCAGAGGTTAGGTATGGCCCCAGTTGAGGGATGGGGCCACCCACCCATCTCAAAAATATTAATCCAGAATTGCTCCTGTCAAAAGGAAATGCAGGGACAAAGAGTGGAACAGAGACTAAAAGGCCATCCAGAGACTGCCTCACCTGTGGATCCATCCCAACTGCAGACACCAAACACAGACACTATTGCTGATGCCAAGAAGCACTTGCTGACAGGAGCCTGGTATAGCTGTTCTGAGAGGCTCTGCCAGAGCCTGACCAATACAGATGAAGATACTCAAAGCCAACCTTCGGACTGAGCACAGGGACCCCAATGGAGGAGTCAGGGTAAGGACTGAAGGAGCTGAAGGGGTTTGCAACCCCATAGGAAGAACAACAATATCAACCAACCAACCTCTCTGCTGCTCCCTGAGCTCCCAGGTACTAAACCACCAAGCAAAGAGAACACATGGAGGGACTCATGGCTCCAGCTGCATAGTATCGAGGACTGCCTTATCTGGCATCAATGGGAGGGGGGGCCCTTGGTCTTGTGGAGAATCGATGCCTCCGTGTAGGGGAATGTTAGGGAGGTGAGGCAGAAGAAGGTGGGTGGGTGGAGGACCCTCAGAGGCAGTGGAGAGGAAGTATGGGATTTTTGCAGAGGGGAAACGGGGAAGGGGGACATTGGAAATGTAAATAAATAAAATAACCAATAAAAAATCACCATGTGTTCGTCTTTCAGGCTGTTTATGTGGTGGTTTATTGATGTTGAACCACCCCTGCATCTGTGGGATGAAGCCAACTTGACTGTGTTGCATACAGCTTGTAAAGTTTTTATCAAGGTCAAACCTAAATTCAGAAACAATCTGTAACTCAATCCTCTCCTTGGCATTTGTATGTCCCTATGGATACTGCAGGCCAATCTGATGATCAGAAGGAAAGTGCCTTTAAGTCTATTTTGGAAGGAAGTATATTCAGGAGGTATCTTTGATCTCTCATCATCTCTAAAGCTCTAGATAAGGCCTGACACTACTAGTAACACCACTCTTCCTTTAAATATACCAACCTACAAATTTAAACTGCTTTCTTTTCTCCATAAATCTCAAAAAAGTCCATATAAATCTCTCTACATGGGTCATTGTTCCTTTCTCCTAGAAACTCCAAGTGCTAGCTTTTGCTGTGTTCAACACAGTAATCATAATAATCTTTTTGCTGTGTTCTTGGATTTGATGTATCTTATTGAGAAATTTCATATCCATGTTCTTAAAGGACATTGGCCATAATTTTCTTTTTTTTTTTTTTGTTGCATCTGTGTTGTTTTGAAATAAAAGTAACAGTGGCTTCATCAAAAGGATTAGAAAATGTTCCTTCAGTATCTACTGTGTAAAATAATTTGAGTAACATCGGCATAAATTCATCTTCAAAGGTGTAATAGAATTCTGCACTAAATCTGTCCCTTGACTGGGGGTGGGGTGGGGTGGGGGTGGGCAGTATGGGTCTGTTTAAATTGCTTATCTGATCTTGATTTTAACTTTAGGAGAACATATATTTAAAGAAATTCATCCACTTCTTTGAGGTTTCTAGTTTGGTGGAATAGATTTTTAAGAAAAAAAAATTTTTTTATTTTATATTCCATGTGTGCTTTGCTTACATGTAGATCTGTATCATGTTCATCTTGGAATTGAAGTTATTTATGGTTATGAACTGCCAAGGAATCAAACCTGGCTCCTCTGTAAGAACACGTTCTTATTAACAGCCGAGTCATCCCTCCAGTTACAATTACAGATTTTTAAGTATGTCCCTGTGATTCACTGTTCTGTTGTAATGGCCCCTCTTTTCTAATTTTATTGATTTAGATCTTCTTTCACTTCAGTTAATCTGGGTAAGGGATTGTCAAGATGGTTTTCTCAAATAATTCTTTCATTAAGAAAAACTGCACTGCAGACAATATACAAGGCGTACCCCAGCATTAAGTCAGCATGATTTCCTTGCCATTTGACTCTTACTATATAAGTTTTTCCTCTGCAATGTTTCCTTTGTCCACTGTCTGCTCTCATTTCTTATTGCTCTGTAATAAACTCTACACTTATGTAACTTGTTTGAATTCATTCAGCAAAGAAAATAAAGACCAGGATGCTCAAGGAAGTTCTGTATAGTAAGATGATCTATGATATAGCCACATTTTTTGGTATTGAATAAAAAGTTTAAGAATATTGGCAAGCCAAAGTACAAGTATAAAATGTGATATCATTTTATCAATTTACCTATAAAAATGAATCCATTGCTTAGAACATCTAAAAGAAATTGACTAAAGCGCTGTTGTGCCAATCATCTCAAGTTCTGGACAGACTGAGGTGTTCCAAGACTTCCAAGAAAAACAGCATTAAACTGAAGGCTTACAAGTATCCAGCAGACTGGGTAAGCTGAGAACAAAACAACAAAACAACAACAACAACAAAACCTTGAAAAAATTGCTTTTAAAGGCCTTTGCTTCCCTTTCCAGGAGATAAGCCCAGTTTATGTTGTCTACTACTGAGGTGATCAGGCTTGTATCCATGGGTTAGTGAACACATTGTGCTTGACTACTTGTGCTTTTTATGCTTTAGCTTCGAATATCTTCTTAGGTCCTGGGCAGCCAGATATGTCAATTAAACCTTATTTTCCATGGTTAAATGGTTTTACTTGAGATACATGATTCTAATTAACATGTCAAGAAAGTTAACAGAAATCAAAAATACATTGAAAACCTTAAATATAATTAACCAGAGTTCTATTTTTCAAAGAATCCATTTTTAGTATTTGATAGTGTGTATATACATATATACACACATATATATAATATATACACACATATATATACATAACACACATAAAATTCCATTCTACAGAATAATAACATCTTTGCATTTCCAATCTTTCTGGTGTTTATATATACAAAGGTTTACTCTGAAATTTTGCTAAGTCTTGCTATTCATTCTTAGTTCATTAGTTTTCAGGTTAAGTCTTGATAAATATACTTGAAATTACAAATTATATTAAGTGTCTTATCCAGACCTTACAAACACTATTACACTGTTGCCCTGGCTGTCCTAGAACTCACTCTGTAGACCAGGCTGGCCTCGAACTCAGAAATCCACCTGCCTCCGCCTCCCAAGTGCTGAGATTAAAGGCGTGCGACACCACTGCATGATTGGCAGATTCAGTATTGATATAACCAGAGACTAATTTTTGATAGTACAAAACTGTGGTAGCATTTAAAAGATGTCTAACTCAATTTGGGAACAAAATTCCTGTTGAAGCACTATAATCAGTAGCTGGCTTTAAATTACTATCTCCTTTGAAGTCTTGGAGACTAATCATCAGCCATAGGCACACTCCTGGCCTGACATCTACTAGAGATGGATGATTCCAACTGTTAAATGACTCCTTCTTTACTTTGTGGTGCAAAGGACAAAAGTCTATGTAAACAGCAGAAACAAATGTATCAAAACATTGTGACCAAGTTTCAAGAATAGCAGGTTGTCACTAGGTAGTCAATAATCAGGAGAATATCATTAGCAGTATTCATCTCACCTTTATCCTTTTGTATTAAGCTTGGCTCACATGGTTGCCAGTATTTCCTGGGATTCTGTCTCCCAGTGTCAAGATCTTAGCATCAAACTGAAAAGAATCCTGAAAGAAATTGGCTGATCTGAATTACATCCCTGTTCTTACTGCAGTTGCTGTGGACAGGAGAGCGCTTGGTCTAAGAGTAGTAACCTCAGGCCATCACTTTCCTCACCCACGGTTTATACTGAAACCCAACACTAGGTGTGGAGAATGAAGGGACATATTCCAAAGGAGACTGCTAGTTCATAAGAAATACTGAACTAGAGAAATAGTGTGTTATATGTCCTGTGTATCTACATTATAAATGAGGCAGCCACCTTGTGTCTGAAAAATTAACTATAATAACTTTAATCTTGTCACTACACACAAAGAATTTGGAAAGAGCCATTCAAATTGGGGTGATAATGGGGATGGTGCTTTACACAGGTAGAGAGGAGATAACGTAATTTTACAATTTGAACATATCTTTGTAATAAGAGTCCTATAAGGGAAAAAGTAGAAGAAGGTAAGATGACTGAGAGTAAAAACAGTCATTCAAACAAACAAACAAACAAACAAACAAACAACACATTTCTTTTTCCCCCTGAAAGATAGAACATGAAGTTGGATGGGGGTCAGGGGGTGGTGGGAAAAGAGACGATATAGAAAGAGTTGGGGGTAGGTAGGGCATGTGTGAAAAAAATAAAGTCAAAATATATTTTATGAAAAAGCCAATAAACAACAATCATTTTAACAAGCATAGCTAGTAGGACTATTAAGTCATGGGATTGGTATTTAGTAAGACCCTATCTATCTATGTCCCTCTTCATCACTTACTTTAATGGGAACGTCATTAGCCATTTCCAATGAAATGGAAATGACTTTTTTTTGAGAATATAGAGAAAACCTCAAGACTTTTAGAACCCTGTGTAGTTACAGCAGTAGACTACAAACGCATTACACATACTCACTTGCCACAGCTGGAATACACAGATTACACAATGTTTTCCTCATCTTAAGTTTTTCTGCAGCCAGGAAAAACAGCTGTGTGAATCATTCAACTTTCTAAAATTGAGGTGACTTTCTAAACATTTAAATAGCAAACAAGACAGAGAAACATTTAAAGCTTAATTAATATGAAAATAACAAAAAACTTTGACATGACAATTACAATATATACAATATAACATACATATTACAGTTTAATTATATGTACATATACAGAGTATCAAAATACCTTTTCTACTTTGGTAACTAAATTCTTGAGATTAAAAATAAACAAGTTCAAACATTTCTACGTACAAAATTTTTAGGTTTTCATTTACTAAAAACAAAATAGTACACATTTTGTTGCCTTAATATATACACATCAAAATAAATACTTTCAATTGTGGAAAATAGAAATGACTAAAAGTCTCAAATTTCTTAACATTATAACAACAAATAATTTACCCTGAATTTGTAGTATGTTTTTGTCAAAAAATAAATTTACTTAGTCTTAAACTCAAGTCAATGTACTTTAATGTTTTTTTTTTAAAAGAGACAAAATACTAAAGGACAGGTTTACACCAGCTAAGAAATAAAATTTACAACCATATAGGTATAAATGTAATCATTTAAAAAACACTAATTCAGTATTATAAAAATATATAAAACCCCTAGCTATACTCCACAAAAAATATAAATGCACATATGCATTCTACTGATTATCAAAAACTCTGATTTATGTAGCTTCTACAAAATGTCAAAGAATAGGAATTGTTTTCTTCTTTTTCTTGAAATGATCTCATTGTGCAACTATAGGTTAACCTCAAACCCACAGAAACTGCTTCTGTCTCCCAAGTGCTGGGCTTGAAGGTCTGGCTAACACGCTTGGACTCAGGACTGTTTTCTTATTGAAGTATATAAATATTTCTACCTCAACCAGGAATATCAATATGTACTAGTAAAAAATGGGACATACATAGAAAGGTAGGCATTGTCCTGTATTCAAGTGTCCAAGTTTGACTTCCATTAAAATATTTTCTGTAACTGATAAACTACACAAACAAAAGTAAAAAGATGAAGTAAACATCTTATACATTTAAGAAATGGCCTCTATAAGGTCTTCCATAATGATGATGATAGTATGTATCTGAATCACATTCCATAGTCTTCGAAGTAGGCAATTTTGTTTCTGTTACTTCAAAAACAATCATGACTTTCACAAACACTGATGCTCTATCGTGGGTTTACATGAGGCACCATGCCACAGTGAGAGCAGCTACAACACCATTCAAAATTGCCATGCTGTAGCCCATGTGGAAAGAATGTCCAGTCAGTTTCCTAGAAAAAAGAGAAAAACACAAATCAAGAAAAAAAAAAAAAAAGAAGAAAAGTACATGTAATTTGGTATCAGAAAACTAGTAAAATCTAAAGTAAAACTAGTAAATACTAAAATACTTAAGATATCACAATTAGTTTTTCCTAATGTTTTATACATTAATATATAAGTTAAAAAATACTGTACACTTGCAGGATTAGTACAGAATTACCAATCTTAAATTTTCTTTTAAAAGTCTTCCTAAGGACTGAAAAGGTGGTTTAGTGGTTAACAGAACTTCCTGCGGGCAAGTGCTTTAATCTCAGCACTTGGGAGACAGAAGCAGGAGGATTTCTGAGTTCAAGGCCAGCCTGGTCTACAGAGTGAGTTCCAGGACAGCCAGGGCTACACAGAGAAACCCTGTCTCGAAAAACAAAACAAAACAAAACAAAACAAAACCAACAACAACAAAAAAAATCATAAAACAAAAAAACAGAGTTTCCTGCTCTTCCAGTGGACTGCCTGTACCCAAATAGAGTGGCTCATTATAGCCTATATAATTCCAGCTCTAGGGCATCCATAGGAACCTGATGAAAAGGCAAAAATGGTAAAAACAGCCCACGCACACACAAACACACATGTGTAAACACATATTAAAAACAAACTTTAAAAAGTCCTGATTTTCTGGTTAAAAATATATTTTTAATTTTAGTACAAAGTTTTGAACTTGATTCCCATTTTAAAAAACTGGTTTCCATTGTATGTACCAATAACATAATTTGTTACATTACAAGCAAGTCTTCCACTAATAGCATTTCCCTGCTCTCGTTCTTACTTAGAGCTAACTAAAACAGCATCTTTCATATAGACACAATAGGACTGATAAATGTGAACTCACAGAGACTGAAAGCACACAGAGAACTGTACAAGTTCAAACCACACAAAATCTTAGTGCTGAGAAGGGAGGGTGGACCACTCTTAACTAAAAAGATACTGATACTGCTGGCAAGAGGAAAATCAGTTTTCTCCAATACTGTCACTGGGTGTGCTGGCTAGTATTATGTGAACTTGACACAAGACAGAGTCACCTGAGATGATGGAAATGCCTTCATAAGATCAGGCTATATGTAAGCCTGTGGGACATTTCTTAATTAGTGATTGCTGTGGGAGGGCCCAGCCCATTGTGGGTGGTACCACCCCTACACTGGTGGTCCTGGGTTCTATAAGAAGTAAGCTGAGCAAGCCCTGAGGAACAAGATAGTAAGTAGCACTCCTTCATGGCCTTTACATCAGCTTCTGCTTCCGGTTCCTGCTGAGTCCTGTGTTGACTTTGATGGACTATGATTGACAATATGTAAGCAAAAAACTCTCCTTTACTCTTGTGTTAATTAGGTAGGGTTCTCTAGAAAAACAGAACTTATAGAATGAATACATGCATATCATTATTATAACACATACACACACACACACACACACACACACACACACACACACACACACACACTGGATTTCTTAAAATAGTTTAGATTGTGGCCCAGCTAGTCCCAACAATGACTGTCTGCCAAGAATAGGTTCAAAAATCCAGTAGCTGTGAGTCCACAAGCATGTATGTCTCAGCTGGTCTCAATATATACTAGAATCCTAAAGAAGGAAGCTCTAAATGTTAGTGAAAGAATGAATTTGCTAGGGAGAGCAAGAGCAAACAAGCAAAAAGAGAGCAAGCTTCTTTCCTTTATATATAGGCTACCAGAAAAAGATATGGCCCATATTAAAGGTGGTACTTCCCACTTCAAGTGATCTAAGAAAAAAATCTTACAGGTAAACCCATTGACTTAGATTTTAGTTAATTTCACACTTAAGTCATGGTGTTTCATCACAGCCGTAGAAAAGTAACTAAGGCAGTGGGTATAACAACCACACTGCAGGACAGACCCCTTGAAAAGCCCAACACAAATGAACTCTATGTTTTCCCTGTACTTTTTTCTTATTGCTGTTTTTCTTTAGAAAGAGTGCCATGAAGTTGGGTGGTAGGGAACAGGGGAGGTTAATGGAATTTGCTTCAAGAGGAGAAAGGAAAAGATCAATGAAAAAAAATTTACAATAAAGTGTTTAAAAAAGACTTTGTAGTTGTCAAATAGAAGATAGGATTATATTAATTTAGGATCCTTTATAATTGTAAACTATGAAATATGACAATTTTAGGTAGACAGAGTAAGAAGATACCTGAAAGAGATAACATACTTGTGTACAGGTTTTTTTTTTCTACCAATTAAAAGGTTACTTACCAATATTATCTATATTTAAAGTGAAACAATGTTATAGGGATTTAAACACATAAATACTTTATTCCCAAAGAGCCAATCAAGGAAATCCAATAATATTATAAAAATTAATAAATATGTTAATTTGCTAGTTAAAAACCTTTACATGATTGTTCATTTGATCATATAATAAGACAGAATAGACAGACATAATTTATTGACAGAAGCAAACTGTTTTCAAGTTAGGACCCTAAATGTGGATTCTTTCAGGCTTAAATATATTTCCCACTACATTTCTGAAATAAAATGAAAATAAATGGGAAATGCTGTTCAATAAGAAAAAAGTGACAGAAAATAGTTACAAAGAAAGGTTCATTATAATAGGACAACTTCCATGTTAGATGAGTTGTACAAAGGAAACTATCTTAGTTTAGTTTCAAAAAAATCCTTTCCAACAATACGGACACACACAGTGAAGTACTCATGTGATTCTCACCAGTGGTATGAGTCAAACTCTAGAATCAGACCTGGGTTTGAGTGCCTCTTAGAAGGAGTATAAAAACAGAATAGTTGTCTGATCTCTTTGGCCTTTAATTTCCTTTATAAAATTGACAACAAATTTACCCTTACAAAGTGGCTGTGAGGACTAAATATCTGTTGCATAGCAAATAAATGTTAGCAATGCAGCATGAAAAAGAAAGCTTATTTACCACTCCCCACTTCTTTCTTCCTTTTAAGTAAACACCTAACCCTAAACCACACCAATCTAAATAACATACAAATAAGCCTAGGAGGTCGAATAAAATACCATCCCTGGCCTATAAAACATGTGATTTTACTTTTTATTATTCTTGTTCTGTTTATTCAAGATCACTCTTCTCATCAAAATTTACTAGAGAGAGCTAGTGACATGAATTGCTACCAAACCTGACAATTCGAATTCAATTCACAGTCCTATATGAAGCAGGAAGAGAATGGATTCCTCCAAGTTGTCTGTGAACCTACAATTACATACCATAGTATATATGGTCACATGTGGGCACACACAAATGAAATATGTAAAATTTACTTGTGAGCATATGTTTCCACCCAGATTTTATATTGAAGGTAATTTTTATTAATACATTTTTATTAATGCTTAATAGTAGAGTCTAAAGTAAATATAGAATTAGCTTTATTATTTTTCACAAATGGAACACATTTAAAACTCAGTAACTGGCTACTTAAGGAACGAGAAATCAAGGCACTCAATAAGCAATTATCCAAATTTCCAAATAAATTACTTAAAAAGCAAAAAATGAGAATACCAGTCTCAAGTCAGCCTCTTTTCATAATTTAGGCAGCTTACTGTTTTTATTAAGGCTTAGTTCATCTGAAGTGAATTACTATGCTATAGAGATGAACACTAGACTCAATTCTCTTGGAATCTTCATTTCTATACCTTATTTACTCCTGTATTTTCTTTCCTTCACACATATCCTCACCTAACAAGTGAAAATTTTAGGGCAGAATTTTTGCAATTTAAAATGGTACTTTCATTGCAAAATGACTTTGCTTTAAGCAGATAGTTCTCTAAACTATCCAGAATAGGTTAAAGCTCATATTATCAGTCAACTGGTAACTTATTTCTTTTCTAATTGGTTCAGCAGGGTAGGGGATGAAGTACTTAGCACTAATCTACTTTTTCAGACTATCTGAACTAGCTTTTATTTCTCACTCTATTTAAGCTATGTGAATTTTGGCCAGAGTAATTACCAGATGGTACATTGTCCTACTTCAAACTTAAAATTCAAACAAATAGGAACCCAAACAAACAAAACCATTGAATACCACACTATTTCAATTACAATAGATACTCCATGTCCCCATATCACCCTTCCATGTTTTACCAATCTTCAGTCCAAAATACTCCAGGGCCTGGGGGGTGGGGAGGGCGGAGATGTGATCAGTCCCTAAACAATATAGCATTTATATTTTATCATGTATTCTATGTAATCTAAAAATGATTTAAAGTATATAACATTTATATTTTATCATGTATTCTATGTAATCTAAAAATGATTTAAAGTATATAATAACATTTATATTTTATCATGTATTCTGAGTAATCTAAAAATGATTTAAAGTATGTAAGAGAAATATGTAAAAATAAATGTGTAACACAGTTCTAAACCTATCTAAGTTTTCCTGTTCTTCTAGTCTATAGCCCTTAACAGACATCCTAGTGCTCTACTACTAGTCATTAAAGCACAAATATTCAGAAAATGCTAAGAGTTGGACCATAAAGTGACAACTACTGCTTTTTAATATGCAATTTAAAGAAATATGCCTTATACTTAAAGACTATGGCATCCCCTGGGGCTAGAGTTCTAGGCAGTTGTGAGCTACCAGATCTTAGTGCTGGGAATGGACCCCTGATCCTTTGAAAAAGCAGCAACCAGTCTTAATTGCCGAATAATTTCCTTAGCCATCATCTGTTGATTTAACCAGTAGTTTATATTAATTGCTGACTGAGTTGATCAATAATTCATCTGGAGTATATAGCATAAGCTAGATTTAAAAGCACCTCCCTGACTTCAAAACACTTTCTAATAGGCTGTTTCTTATAATTTATAAATATGGTGGCAATGTGAATAAAAATGGTTCTCATAGACTCATACAGAGTGACATTATTGAAGGAGTGGCCTTGTTGGAGTAGGTGTGGCCTTGTTAGAGGAAATGCATCACTGGCAGTGAGCTTTGATGTTTCAGAAGCCCCAACA